TCAACAGAGTCTGGAAACAGAGGGCCCGGCGCCATTCAGCCACAGGTCTCTGGCCAGCTCGGACGAGGCCCGTCAGGGATGGTGACCCCCAGGAGCCTCCGAGTCCTGCTTCTCTTGCTTCTCCTTCTCTTCTCGCTGCTGGCCTCAGGTGAGCAGATCCGCTCGTCCCTACTCTGCTGAGGGGCCAGGCTGGGGAGTGTTCACAACACAGTGGGGTAGAGAATGGGGGTGTCTGGGGCCCCCTGAGAAGCCTGCCTGGATCACATTGGCACCCTTGCTAACCTAGTTTCTCTGGCCAGTACTCTCATTCCTTTAGGGTCAGCTCTGGACCTCAAGGTGCCTTGCTTCCCCCAGTGTCCAGGTTGGGTGGTGGCGTGCTCCTAGACAGCCCTCGCATCCACACTGGGGCTGCCTAACTAGCCCAGCTTTGGGACATGGCAGGGGTCCTGGGCAAGCTAGCTATTCTCTTCTGGCCTCTGAGCTTCTTGGAAGTGGTGACAGAACCTTCTGGAAGCTAAGGTGAATCAGGCTTACCCTGCTTTCTCCTTTTGTTCCATCAGACCCCTTCACCCACCTATCACCCACTGGGGCTCCGCCTCCCCGTCTCAGCAAGTGGCCCTGTAACCAGCCAGGAAAGACTCCTCCCACCCTCACGTACCCCTGTGCTCATGAGCACGGTGCCCTCAGCACTGAGGTGGAGGCCAGGCCCTTGTTCCTGGAAAAGCCACCCCACCCACCATCCACTGGTCAGCTCTTCTGCATCTTCCACAGCCACTCTGAGACCTCTATGGCCATCCTCTTGGATAAGGGTGGGTGCATCCTCTGGAGTGCTCCCATCTTGCTTCCAATGCTCCTCCTGTCTTGCTGCCGAGTCAGCCTGTGACTGTGTATCTGTCTCCCCGGTGCCCGTCTAGTATGGGACGAAGGGCCCCATCCTCAGAACCAGGGCTTTAGGGAGTTGAACCTAAGTTCGCACATGCTGTCTGTTGCTTTGGGATCATTGATGGGCCTCGTTGGGCCTAGAGAACTTCACGTTCTTTCAAACATAGAGGAATTCAATCTCCGGCTCAGAAAAAGTGTGAGGTGGCAGCTCTGTCCTCCCAGAGCCTTGGTTTAGACAAGTCATTTGTCCACACTTGATGAGTTCACTATTAACCAATGGGAGGTTGCCACCAGGTCTCAGTGGTCACCATAGGGCCCTTTGGCCCCTCAGGGTCTCTGCTTCTCTGAGTGAACACATCTCCCCTCTGGTTTGGGCAAAGGACCAGCTATGTGAGCAGTGAGAACAGCGTTTAGATGTTTACATCCCAAGGTAAGAATCCTTCCTTTGTGGAGATTTCACCATCCATCCATTCATGTGAACATCCATCCATTCATCCATCTATCTATCTATCTATCTATCTATCTATCTATCTATCTATCTATCTATCTATCTATCTATCCATCCAACAATACATACATACATACATACAAACATTCATACATTCATTCATCTGTCCACTCAAACATCCATCCATCCATCCATCCATCCATTGCAAAAGCACTGATAATTCCAGTAAGCCGTGCCATGTCCTGTGCTGGCCATTATGGTAGTCTAGCAGAGTGACAGGGTGGGAGAGGTAGTGCCCAGCACTTGGGGACTGGCCATTCCGGTCCCACCAGGAGACAACAGAGGAGCTTTAATAAAGAGACAGTTTGCAAAGGGGTGGCCAGGATCAGGGGTACCATGAGGGGGTGACACATGAGGGCTGGCCCTGAGGGGAGCTGTTAGCATCTCTGGGCTCAAAACGCAAGGAGGGAGCAGCGCCAGTTAGAAGAACAGACTGCGGCTGTAGGAAAGAAAAACAGTCAAGTGGGGAACCCTGTAGGTGGGGCAGAGCGGACAGAATGAGGAGCCGAGACCCCCTCCTGTCTGGCTTCCTGTCTGCTCCATATTTGTGACCTCAGTAGAAGCCAAGGGAACAGAATCCTGCCGGTGCTGTGTGCAGAGGCCGACCTCAGCCAGGCAGTGGACAAGTGCCGAGCGGATGCGGATGCAGATGGGGATGGGAGGGCGACAGCTCATTCGCAGGAGAGGGGACAGTTAGCTCAGTCTCACGGGTGTTCTTTGTGCTGCCTCAGTCTTTGAGAAAGAACCATGAAAAAGGTATTTAACAATCTGCTCTGCACTGGGCTAGCAGTGCTCACACACAAGGCGACATGGTAATCTTGCAGCTGGTCACAGGGTGGCTCTCTTAGCAGCCCCCAGTGAGTGCACTGGGCACCTATCCCTAACCCCTCAGACTTGAGGGGCTGAGACTACAGAGAGAATAGCACCGCCTCTTGAGTTGGCAATTTCCTCCCTTCTCTTTCTTCCCTGTTCTCCTTTCCCGCTCAATTTCCTTCTGTTTCTCCTTTATTAGAGACACAGAGCGCGCGCGAGAAAGCTCCCCAAACCCACCTCTTGCTCTCAAGAACATTCTGGCTCTTGGCAAGCCCATGCCCATCAGCAGAACTGCTCTGTAGAGTTTCCAAAGCAGCCAGGTCTTTTGTTTGACAGGTGGGTTTGAACAGCCCATCTTTTGGCTAGTCGTGGAGCACTTAATCTACTGCACCACCCAGGGGCCCCCATAAAGTAAATCCGCCTTCTATTACTAAAAGATCATCTGCCGCCAGCTTTCCCACTAAAGTGTGGCGTGACAATCTTCACCAGCGAACAGGAGTTTAAGATGACTTAAGAACTAAGGTGAGATTAATTTTACCTTTCAGAGCAGCAAGACTTTTTTTAGAGTTTGGTAAAATCTAGGATGATGAGCACGGGAATTGTTATTCTCGTCCACTTTTTGTTTTGTTTTGCATCTTTATAAATCTGATCTTTATTTGCCTTTTGGGATTGGAAACACTGTATCTAAACATGGGAACACACTTGTAGAGCTAACAATAACCGCCCCTGGTTGCCATGGG